AATTTCCTCATTTCACCACAGCTCAATAATTCCACCACGGGCCTGGGTCCTCAGTGATGCAACACCAGCAACAGATTTGGCTGTTGTTGCTTGGAAAATCCTGGAATATTCCAGCTGGAGTAAATAGCTGGCGTGTATTCCTTGCAGTGCAAATGCTGGATGTAATTTGCCTCCCTCCAGGGTAATTTTATTAATACAGCCTCGTTTGCTTTAAACCCTGAGTTCTGTATTTCTCAGAACAGGATATAAATCACCCCATTCATGACAAATCAAAGGAGACATCCACAAGATGCTCACAGTGATGTCAGTGGGTTGTGGTGAAGCCATGAATCAATGGGTGACATTGGAGGGTTAAAATCAAATTCCAAGCTTCAACAAATCTCGTGAATCTAAACCCAGTTTGTTTCAAATACAATCTTTTATCTAGAGAGATGTGAAGCAGCCTGGTCCCAATCAAAACACCACTGCTTCCTCCTGCAAATCCTTCAGGAAAAACACTCTGCATCCTCTCAGCCACTGGCACAGAACTGCAAGGGTTCTGATAGGAAAATCTTTGCTTCTGTTCATAATTTCCAAAGCAGAAGCCGTCAAGAGGGAAAAAAAAAAGGTGCAAACACTGAAAAAATTCCTTAAAAGTCTCTGTTCTTGCTGAATTAAATGGAAACTTCCTTAGAAAGTCAAGGGCTGTGATTGTTTTCTGCTGCCTGGAAAGGAATTCAGTGTGACAGTGGCTGTGAAGAGGCAGAGGAAGGCAACGACCTGAATTTAACCAAGAACCCCAGGATTTTCTACCAATAATGCCAATATTGGCTGGCTTTATGTAGGAAATCACACAATTTCCTATTAATCTCAAAAATGCATCTCTGCCTTACCTACAAAATGTCACAATTTACTGAAGCTGCAACGATCTAACTCACTTTTTAAAATTTGATTGGAAGATTTCATCTAAAAGCAGTTAAGATTCGTGCTTAAAAACCTATTTACTTGAGGGGCCACAAATCCAACCTTTACAAGGTAACACAAAACCCACTCTATAGTTCTGTGTGTCACACACTTCATTCCTAAAGGAATTTTCATGTATTCCCAGCATTAGAAGCTCGGATCAGCTAAAAATTCTCAAGTGTCCCACAGCTCACTTTGGAAATAGTGTAAAAAAATATCCCCAAAGTGTTAAAAAGTTGCGAGCAATTTTTTTCCATGGAAAGTGTTAAGTAAATGAACCTAGAATTCCTGGAAGGGCATTCTCTCCTCGTTATTAGATTGTCTAACTTACATCAACAGATCTATGGAAAGCTTAGGAAATTTTCCATTTTTTTTTTTTTTTCACACAGGCACAAATTCAAAGCCTCGCTAGACCCAGCTTTAAATCAGGTGATGAGCTGCATTCCTGCTGGCTGTGACAGAAAGAGAAGGAGTTTAAGATTGTGTTGTCCAGTTTTGTTTTTGCACCAGAGGTTTCCATCTCCCATTAAGAAGTTTGGAGGAACCTCATCTGGAAGTGTCCAGGACTCTGTGTGTCCCCTGAGAATAAATAACACAGCAGGAGAGGAAATGATAGCTATCCACGCTGTGAAAATGAAGCTTTATTAGTCCCTCCAAGCATGTAATTATTGGAAAGGCTGAGATTAAACCTTACAAATGGGCACTGCTCCAAATCTTATCTCCTTTTCTCTGGAGCAACCTTTGAATTAGTGTAAGTAGGGCCAGCTCTGATCCTGAGCAGGGTTCTACAGACCCTCAGCTTGGCTAAACCCAGCTGTCAAAGCAAATAAGCCTGTCCTAAGTAATCAGCTCCTGCTGCTCATCCTGCTCCTTCCCCCTGCCTGAGCAGCCCTGACAGTGCTGCCCACCCCCCTTGCCCTGGCACCCCCTTCCCAGCAGGAAGCCAAGGAAATCTCACCCAGGAAAGGTTTGAGTACACAGATCACATGGAAACAAACTGAAATAAACAGGATAAAAAAAAGAGCCAGCTGTGTCTGAGCCTGTTCGAGGCTCGTAGGCTGGGGCTTGTCCAGGCCTGTGTTTGCAGGGACTCACAAGAACAGCAGCCACTGTGGCCATGACTATCAAACCAAAATCATGTTCATCTCCTGTGCTAATACACCAGCAGAAACCCCAAACCAAACGATTAAAATAACAATATTTGGAGCCTGATAGTTCTCTCCTATGGGTCTGCCCCAGGGAGGGGGCAGAGAAGCAGCTGTGAGCAGAACTGGGCAGTATTTGTTGTGTGCACTTGGCCTGGCAGCCCATCCCCAAATCCCACACCTACCTTGCAGGTTCACTCTGGAGACAGGTGGCTGACTCGTGGCTGGAGATCTCCTAAGAGGGATAAAGAATTCTCTGTCAGGAGGTGGGATTTTATCTTTCCAAACCCTCAGTTAAAAAATCCTTTTCCATTCTCCCAAAAAAACCCCAAACACTTGACAAAGATTTGTCGGACAGTATTGACAGATCAGTTAGGAAAAGCCAGAGATGGCTGCTCCCTGCCTGTTCCACGAGCTGGAAACGAGGAGAAATGTGCCACCATCCCAATGCTGCTTTTTGCAGCTTTGTGCTCAAAATATGCCTGAAGGCAGCAAAGGCCAGGCTCTGGTGGCTCCCTCACAGTCAAGGCTTTTTCCCAAAAAGATTTTCCCTACAGAGGCTGGAGTGGGCCCTGAAGTGATGTCAAACTGCTGCAAGGCCGTGCCACAGGTAAGGTCAGAAATGTGCCTTTAAACCCTCCAGGTAACACTGGAATTGCTCCTGAAGCCAGGAAGAGGATGATGCAGTCACTATTGTTTAGCTCTGAAACAGCTGAAGGACACTTTTGGGACTCTGAGCAGCAATTTCAGCAGCAATTTGGATTTTGGAGGAGCCAAAAGCTATTTGAAAAAAAAGTTAGTTCAAGTCAAGCCAACAGGGTCTGACTGGAAAAAGGTGCAGATTCACTCCAAATGTCAGCACAGCTCCCTGTGAGACTTGCTAAACAAAATTGTTCATTTTTCAAGCTGAAACCATCACCAGAGACTTGTTTTTTACAGGAGTTAAAAAGAGTTGACACCAAAATCAAGACACTTCAGTTTGGATTGACTGCAGTACTTCAGGCTGACCAAAAATGAAACTTTGGGCTTCTGCTTCCCTAAGAAGTTTCGGATCCATTTTAACTGAAGCCAGATTTCCCCACACTCTCCCTTCGCCAACCTCCTTCCTAACCCCAAATTTCGGAGTCAGCCACTGAACTGCACATCCATTATTCGCCAGCTCTGCTTTGAAGCTCGAATCAAAGCAGGCAGAGCGGCTCAATTGTGCTGTGATTGTAGCTCCGGGGGCTCCTTCAGAAGTGCTCCGGGAAGGCCTCGCTGCCCAGGTGAGGTCGGGAGCGCAATTCCAGCCCCGCTCCCAGCCCTCCGACCCGCCGGGCTCCCGGCTGGAGCCTCCCTGCCATCCACAGGCTGTTCTGGCAGGATGTGCAGCACCCGGGCTCTCCGGAGGGTTCAGCACAGGGCACACACGTTGGGTGCTCCGTTCCCTCCAAATGTGCCCCGACCTGCCTCTGCTGAGCCTTTGAAAAGCCAAATCTTGAAATCTCTAAAAAACAGAAACTCCCCGAGACAGGGACACCACGCCACGGCTGCAGCACTGCCAGAACGGAGGGATCCAAGCTGCAGGGATCTCCAAACCCCTGATCTGCACAGACATGCCTTTGGGGGGGGTGGTGGGGAGGGATGAGCCGCTCTTCCCTACGGTATTCCCCGCTCCAGAGCCGGCACCGCTCCCGCCATCCTCAGATCCGTGTGCCCATCCTGTTTTGCGGGACTGGAGACGGGAGTTTTGACAGCACTGTCCTTTCTCTGCGCTCCGCTGCCCGCTCCTTCCCTCCTGCCGCAGGGTATTACACGGAGCAGGCTCCGGATGCTTCCCGACCGCGTCCTGGGCTGCGATTGCCAAACTCCGGCACTCCAAAGCCATTAATCACCCTCTCCTCTTTTCCAATCAGGAAACTGCCTCAAGAACCCTGACGTTAAAGTCCAAAAAATATGACTGCCAGTTGTTTTTTTTTCCTCCAGGCCTTAACATTCATATTTTCCAGCAAATATGTGGGACAGCATCCTCTTTTTTGCCTTGCTCGGGCCACGAGGGGTGGAGGAGGAAAAAAGAGAGAAGAGGAGGGGTTAAAGAAAAGCTGAGATTCTCATGATCCTCAAAGCAGAAGTTTAAGTAAAATATCACATATAATGAGACAGATGATAAAATCATGAGCTGGCAGCATGGCTGCAACCCAGCAGAGCTCTTTGGAAACTGCAGGAAGCTCCACAGCACCTGGAAGCACATTCTGCCATGGACTGGGATGTTTGGCATGGGATGGTTTAAAAATTTAATGACTTTTACTTTGGCTGGGCAAACAACTTTATACCTCAATCAAATCTGGGAATGTTTTCCAAAGGACACTGTAAGATGCCTGTGTGTCCCACAGGTTACACCCTCACTTCCTTCCGGCCCTGTCCAATTTCAGATTCCTCATTAGGAGCTGCCAAAATGCCCGAGCTTTCCAAAAAAATAAAGCTTAAAAAAAAAGGGGGAATATTTAAGCCATCTGTTTTTTTTATTAACCTCCATCTTGGAATGCAGCAGTTCCTTCCCATCAAAATTTGCCAGCGGGAATCAACAGGAGGAAAAACCTCACGGCTGCATAAAATGCTGGGCTTTATGTTAAATAAAGATTGCGAGCTCGTGGTGGGCACCAGGTGATGCCACTCACACCTGGGGCGGAGAGAGCCCGTGGTGTCCCACTGGGGACATCCCTGCACCTCATCCTTCCCTTCTGGAGCCAGAGGCAGCGAGCAGCTCCCAGGGTGGGATCAGTGGGATGGGTGGGTGCACACCAGGCCTCGCCAGGAATGAATGATGTTGGTTGGAGGCTGAACAGCTCTCCTGGGGCCAAGCAGGCCAGAGGATGACGATGAGTGGCTCAGTATAAATAGCCAAGGGGAAACGGTGGTTCCGGACAAAGGAGTAAAAAGGAGTTTGTTTGGTTTCTCCCGTTCAGCAGGTAGAAAAAACAACATCCTCCTCCTGAGTGCATCACCTTCCTCATTCAGAGCAATCAGTGTCAGAGGAAGTGATGTGGGATTCAGCCCTCTCGGAGCTGAGTTCCAGGATGCTGCTGCTGCTGCTGGGAAATCCTTGTTGTCCCCAGAGCCCCGAGTTTGGGGTGCTCCCCTCGACATCTGCCCTTGGGTCATGAACAACTCCTGTGAGATTGGATCAGTTGGGTAGAGCCTGGTGCTGACGACACCAAGTTTGGGGTTGATCCCTCTATGGGCCAGTTAAAGGCTGGACTTGATTCTGCTGGATCCCTTCCAACTCGGACACTTCTGGGATTATTACTGCTCTGTGAAGTAGTGGTGGAAATGCAGGGCAGGACCGTGGCTTGACTGAACAGAGATGATGCCTCTGCTCCGAGCTGGGCACGTATGGAATGCCTGGGATAGCCAAGGTGGCAAGGTGATGAAGAGCATGGAATTGTTTCGGTTGACAGAGACCTCTGAGATCACCAAGTCCAACCCAGCACTGCCAGGGCCACCACTGACCCATGTTCCCAAGTGCCACATCCACAGGACTTCTAAATCCCTCCAGGAGTGGGGACTCCACTGCTCTGGGCAGCTGTGCCAGGGCTGGACAATTCTTTCTCTGAATAAACTCTTCTTGATATCCAAACAAACCACCTCTGGTCTGGGGCTGTTCCCTCTCCTCCTGTCCCTGTTCCCAGATCCCAAATCCCCCCGGCTGTCCCCTCCTGTCAGGGAGTTGTGCAGAGCCAGGAATTCCCCCTGAGCCTCCTTTTCTCCAGGCTGAGCCCCCCCAGCTCCCTCAGGGATTCTCCAGCCCCTTCCCATTTCCCTCAGGGATTCTCCAGCCCCTTCCCAGCTCCCTCAGCCTCTCCTGGGGCTCCAGACCCTTCCCCAAATCTGTTTCCTTCTCACTCTCCAATCCCTCAACGTGTTTTTCTGTGGTGTGGGGCCCCAAACTGCCCCCATGATAAATGGTGGACATTGCACAAGATGAAACACATTGCTTGCTCCTCAGGGAGGATCCTGAGGGGATGAGGGGATGAAGAGATGAGGGAATGAGGACGAGAATATGAAGGGATGAGGGGACAAGAGGGTGAGGGTACGAGAGGATGAACGGATGAGGGGATGAGGGGACGGACGCCATGAGGGATGAGAGGATGAACGAATGAGAGGGTGAATGATGAGGGGACGGACACCATGAGGGGACGGATGCCATGAGGGGATGAGGGGATGAACGAATGAGGGGATGAATGATGAGGGGACGGATGCCGTGAGGGGATGAGGGGAAGAACGAATGAGGGGATGAACGAATGAGAGGATGAACGAATGAGGGGATGAATGATGACGGGACGGACGCTGTGAGGGGACGGACACCATGAGGGGATGGACGCCGTGAGGGGACGAGCGGATGAAAGGATGAGGGGATGGACGCCGTGAGGGGATGAGCGGATGAGGGGATGAATGATGACGGGACAGACGCTGTGAGGGGACGGACGCCGTGAGAGGATGAGCGGATGAAAGGATGACGGGACGGATGGCGTGAGGGGATGAGGGTATGAACGAATGAGCGGATGAAAGGATGAGGGGACGGACGGCATGAGGGGATGAGCGGATGAAAGGATGAGGGGACAGACGCCGTGAGGGGACGGACGCCGTGAGGGGACGGACGCCGTGAGGGGACAGATGCCGTGAGGGGACAGATGCCGTGAGGGGACAGATGCCGTGAGGGGACGGACGCCGTGAGGGGAGGGCCGACGGCGCCCCCTGGCGTGGCGCGCAAACCGCAGCGGAGCCGTGAGGCCATGGCGGAGCCTGAGGCACCGCGGCCGCCGCTCCCCGGCCCCCGCCGGCTCCTCTTGGGTACCAAAGCAGCTTAAAATACCAGGCTTACTTGTTGGAGGTGCCGTGTAAATTGGTGAGGAGCGTGAAGTTGTTCCTCACGCTTCTTAGGCTGGCCAGCACCTGAGGGAGACAAAACCGCAGGCGTCACCTTCTCCGCTTTAATGCTTTAAAAAAACTACTTTAGAGGCCAATATGCCACCGACTCACCTGGGCGAAAGGTGTGACAATCAGGTCGTCGCCATGCCTAAGGAAAAATGGAGAAAATGCTTAATTTCTGTACAAGTTTACCTTCAAACAGAACGAAATTCACCTCGGGGAATGAGCGTTTTCCCGTGGGGGTTTTCCTCACGAACGAACCCACGCAGCATTTAGTTAACACCACACAAAAACTCGTTCCTGATGGAAAGGTCACCGTGTATATCCAAAACAACTGGCTGGAGCGAGCGTTCGGGCTGGGAACACCAGGCAATAAAAGCCAGGAAATTCAAAAGTTAAGGCTCACGCTTGCACCGTGGTGGAAAAAAACCAACCGTAGTGGTGCGGGGAAAGGTCACCTTTGAATTTCCTGGCTTTTGTTGATCTCTGTCGCAGTCTTTAATCTTGTTCAGACGCCGGGTTTTGTCCGGCTGTTTTCATCATGGAAGATTTGAGCAGAAGTTACGAGCAAAATACATCATTGCCAGCAATAAGAGGGAATTTTTTTTTTTCTTTTTGGTGGTATTAGATATGGTACTTGTATGGAAAATTCTGTGTGATTTACCTAACTGAGAGATGGCAGGGTATAGAATTATTGAGAGGTTTGAGTTGGGAGGGAGCTGAAAGCCCATCCTTGCCATGGGCAGAGACATTTTCCAGTATCCCAGGTGGATCCAAACCCATCCAACCTGGCTTTGGACACTGCCAGGGATCCAGGGGCAGCCACAGCTGCTCTGGGCACCCTCCCAGCCAGGAATTCCTTCCCAAAAATCCCATCTGTCCCTCTGGAGAGCTGTCCACCAATGCTGGACCTCTCCAAATTGGAATTCTCCCCTCTGTGCTGCCACAGAGGTCATCCCCTCCTCCTCACTCGGGTATCAGTGCTATTAATTGTAAATTTAATTAAAATTGTCTCCACACTGATAGAGACTCTCTCCCAAGTGCTAACAGAGCGTCGATGCCCATGGTGGATGGACACAGCCATGAATTTGGGGGAAATTATGGGATTCCCCCACCCCAGCACACTGCTGGGAATTATTACAACCCACCGTTTACACCAAACACTATTTGCATAATTTGAAGTATTTCCTTCAATAAATATTTACTCAGTTTTAACTCACAGCAGGGATATTTTCTCGCAGAGTTCTCGTGGATCTGGCTAATATTCAGATTTCCATTCCGTGACAAAACTTTCGCAACAGTTCAACTTTGTTTAACGAGCACTTTTTTTAAAATAGTTTAATGGCCACTTTAAAATGTGCCTTTCACAATAAAGGGCTGGGAATCCAGGACACTCTGTGTGTATTGATCCTCTCGAGCTCAGCCATCTGTCTCAGCTCATTTTCCACTCAGTTCTAGGGAACAGCCCTCAAAACAGGATGGGGAACAGCAATCTTGAAACTAAAAGTACAGCACAACTCTGCTATTCCAGGATAGGGCTTTGAAAGCTCTTCTGCTAATTCTGGGAAAAAACGGGACTATTTGAAGGATGGCATGGGAATATTTGGAGGATGGCATGGGAATATTTGAAGGATGGGAGAGGATGTTGGATCAGCACCTCTTTTGTGCATTCCAGCTATGAAATGTGCCCGTACCAGCCATAAGCTCATCCTAACAGAGCTCTGAGGATTAGCACAGAAAGGGAGTGTAAAACACTGAATTGATGCTTACTGTTCACTGGGCAGGGAGGAGTTCCTGGACATGGTCTTTGGTGAGAGGTCATAGTCGCTGTCGGATCTGTACAGGAAGGACTCCCGGCGCTGGCTGTGGCCCGGGAATGTCGTGTGCAGGACGAGTCCCGACGAGGAGCTGGCCTGGGGGTCCAGCGGGCTGCGCCCCGGGGACGGGCCGTTCTCCACATCGAAGCTGTGAACGACACACGGACCGCGGGTCACACTCTGCCACAAGAGGGCTTGCAGGGCATGTGGCACCGCAGCGAGCTCGCCCTGTGTCACCTTTATCCCATTTATCCCATTTATCCCATTTATCCCCGAGGCTCCTGTCCTCACTGCCTCTGCTCACGCCTCCTTCTCGCAGCTCAGCACGCAGAGGGCAGGGCTGGATTAGGGATGATGGAGAATCCATCCCTGGGAGGGTGGGGAGGCCCTGGAATAGAATTTCCAGAGCAGCTGAAGCTGCCGCCCCTGGATCCCTGGCAGTGTCCAAGGCCAGGCTGGATGGGGCTTGGAGCAACCTGGGATAGTGGAAGGTGTCCCTGCCATGGCAGGGGAGGAATGAGATGGACTTTAAGGTCCCTCCCAGTCCAAACCATTCCAGGATTCCAAGATTCTAAACACCCCACTCCACCCTCCAAGGCCTTTTGCACAAGCCCTGGGGTTCAATTTGCCAAACCTCACTCCAAGTCCAACGAGCACAACAAGGGACTAAAGACACCACAATGTGACAACACTTTCCAGCCCAGCCCTGTCCCCATCTGCTCTGGAGCCAAACCTTTGAAATCCTGCAAGATTTGCGAGCACCTGGCAGCTCTGGGAGCTGGATGCCCAAACCATGTTTTAGCCATTCAAGGTATCAGTTCAGTGACTTTTTAACAGCTGTGCTGTGAAATGAAGGGCTCTTTAAAAACTAAAAAAAAAAAGCAGTAAACTTTTTGTCACCTTTTCCATTTTACACCCACTTTCTTGTGGTTTCATAACTTGGCTGCTACAACCCGTGGCTGAAGTCACCCTGGCCACTCTAGCAAGTGACACCCCTCGTAAAGGCTGAAAATGAGCAGGTTGGCCTCCTCTGCCTGGGCATTCGGGCCTGATAGAAACACCAGATGTGTGACCACGGCCCAGAAAGCCAAGTGAGGTATGGCCACGCTCAGGAGGAGTTTCCTTGCCTTTGAGAGGTTTTGTCTCCTTGCAGTAGGAGCTGAGTGCTTGATCCATGCTGGATGTTGTCCCACCAGGACACCAGGCTCTGGTCCCTGCCATGCCATTCTCACTCCCTCCACTCCTTAATCCAGAAGATTCCCAGAGCACTGGGAATCCAGAAGATTTCCTGAGTGGCAGGGAAGACCCCAGCTCTCCCTCCTCTCTACAGTGAGAGCTTTAACTGTGGCAGGAAGAGCACATAAAACATTAATACCTAAACTTGCCTGAATCCTTCAAATTTTCCAGATTTCTACATCACTGGGACGAGCTGGACACATTGAGGCTGCCTTGGTGAGAAGCCTGGCACAGCCAGTGCCCAGCTGGGAATACTGTGGCTGCTCCAGGTCCTGCTGCCCACTTCCTGTGTTCCCTGTTCCAGCACCTGGAATGCTGCCCTATGGATCACGTGGTTAATCCAACTGAAAAGTCCTTTTATTCTTTTCCTCAAGTTCAACGTGCAGCCACGCCAGCGCTCCTCAGGCTCTTTTTCCTCGGCCTTGATCCAGCACTCAGCCACCCATGTGCTCAGCTAGGAGTTAACAGAAAATTCCCCAAAAAGTGACTGATCCCAGAGTATGGAGTTACCTCTGCCAGGAGTGAACGGGCACTCCCAGAGGTGCAGCCTGTGAGCAAGATCCTCAAAACGCAGGAATAACTCTGCAGTCACTGCTTTTTAATAGTTACAAGAACTGGAATATGGGAAAATATTCCCCTTGGGTGATCCAACATTAGGAAAATATGACCTGAGATACACAGAGCAAGAGTTTAACCTTGTGTTCGTCACCAGTTCCTCCTGGTTTGCACAATACCCACCTGATGCCAAAAATATTCCACAAACAAACATTTGCTGGAATTGGTAAGAACTGCAATGGGATTGTAAAGTTGCCCTCCTGGAGCTGAATTTCCCACTATTTTTTTTTTTCTATTGGAAGTTAACTGCTGAGCTCTGCTGGAAAAACTTCATCACTGTGTTCAGAACACTGCACAGACTGTGAGGGTCCTCTCCAAAGTTTGCACACCCCATAGGCTGTGTCCAAGTGGAAAAAAAGCTGCATTTGCCTACTTAAAAATAAGGATGGCAGAGTACAAAGCACAAAAAAAAACCCAAAAATTCCTTTCCAGTTTATCCTTAAGTAACAGCACTCACAGCGAGACACCCCATTTGTGATATAAATTGTGTTATCTAAACACATGGGTCAGAAATTTGATATCTAAGGTCCCTATAAATCCTATATATCCTTCAGAAATCCCTGTCTCCATAGGAGCTCTCTCTAGGACATGTGGGAGCTGCCAGCATTCCCTGCCTGCCTCCAACCTGACCTGTGTTATCAGATCTATTTTCCAACATTTCCCAGTGCTGGACACTCTCAGTAGTGACCAGAGGCCACCAAAGGATTCCAGGGAATCAAACAGGCTCCAGAGGAGGGAAGGTGACAACAGCACCACGAGAGCTGCCCATTCTGGTGGAGTCCCCATTCCTGGAGGGATTTAAAGCCATGTAAATGTGACACCTGGGGACATGGTCAGTGGTGGGAATGGATGGGTTTGATCATCCTGGAGATGTTTCCAAGCAATTCCACCACCCGTGTGGGATGGGCCTCAGCCTGTCCTGTCTCTCAGCAGGGCAGAGCTGGGAAGGAAGGTGGCTTTTCCCTGGGGTCCTCTCCAGGCTCCACATGCCAGTTCTCTGGGATGGAGGAACGGGGGAGGCAGAGGGAGAGCAGGGGCTGCACAGCACGAGCCGGGGCAGCTGCAGCTCCATCCCTTCATCCCTCTGCATCCCGAAAGGATCCAGATCTCAGGGAAGAGAGAAGGAAGGAGACAGCAGGTGGCAGGAGTTAGCTGCGAGCGGGCAGCGGCCCTGGACCTGGCAAAGCTGTGCCTGAGCCACGGTAACGAACAGACAACGGCGAGCCAGGAGAAATCACTGTAAAACACGGCGAGGCTTCGTGAGTCACCCTGCAAACAAAGAGAATTCATAACACAACCCCCAAGTGCTCAAATGCTGCAGTGGTACTGTAACAGCTCCTCGATCACACAATCTCCTGAGCTGGAAGGACTCACAGGGGCATGGATCCACAGACCCCCAGCATTCCCACCCTGGGCATCCCTGTCCAAACTCTCCTGGAGCTGCTCTGGCAGCCTCGGGGCCGGGGACCATTCCCTGGGGATCTGGGCAGTGCCCAGCACCCTCTGGGGAAGAAACCTTCCCCAAAATCCAACCTGAGCCTCCCCTGGCACAGCTCCAGCCGTTCCCTGCGATCCTGTTCCTGTCACAGAGAATAAATTGGTGCTGCCCCTCCCCTGCCCCTCGGTGAGTCTCGCCTCAGTCTCCTCCAGCAAGCCAAGTGCCCTCAGCCGTTCCTCATATTTCCACTCCAGACCCTTCACCAGCTTCAGGAACCCATGTCCCTGGATCAGCATTGCTCACCAGCAGTCTTGGAATGTGGCAAAATTTGGCAAAAAGATTGAGAACCAGGAATGCACCATGATTGGGATATAATTCAGAGTCATTGGAGCAGTCCTTGCCAGTCAAGTGGTTCCCATGAGAGCTGCACAGCCCCACAGTTTGCTCTGGAGTATGAAACACAAACACATTTCAGCCCAGCAGACCAGGCAGGCTCGGGGATTTTTGTTTATGTTGGGAATTTACATTTTTCCCGAGGATGACAGCACTGACTCTCCAAGAAGGTTCACCATCTGCTTTGCCTTCCCAGAGTCACTCCTGAGGACATTATTCCCCATCTCCTAACTATAGAACCACCTTTGTATCATCAAACATTTCCAAAATATTTCCAGAGGTTTGGGCGGACTTTGTTAATTATATAGCTCCTTTCTGAGATTCGTGAATCTCACCCAGACATCCCTCAGGATTCTTAAAACCATTAAAAAGGAAAAATGCTGTTCCTTCCACTGCCTGGCTGCTCTCTAACGCTGTGCACCTGTTCCCCATTATCTGAGCAGCTTGCTGTTTTTCCTAAATAATCTTCCATGTGGAAAGGGCTGTGCTTGAAACCATCAGCACTTAATGGCCCAGGATGGGACACACGGAGCTGAGCACAGCCCTGGCAGGGGCACAGGGCTCCTGGGGTGACAGCTCCCAGCTCCACAGGCATTACTGACCTTCCCCTCCCGACCTTCTCCCACTTAGGGAAAGAATTGTTGCTCCTAGGAACCTCTGAAAAGTTCAAATCCCTCTCCTGGGTTTGTCCCTCATGTGGCTCCTGACTTTTTCATCCCCAGTGAGGCTCCACCTGCAGAGCTGCCCCAGCCCTGGGGCCCAACAGCAGGAGGAGCTGGAGGTGCTGGAGAGATTCCAGAGGAATCCATGGAGCTGCTGCAGGGCTGGAGCCCCTCTGGAGCCAGGCTGGGAGAGCTGGGGGTGCTCACCTGGAGAGGAGAAGGATCCAGGGAGAGCTCAGAGCCCCTGGCAGGGCCTGAAGGGGCTCCAGGAGAGCTGGGGAGGGACTGGGGACAAGGCAGGGAGGGACAGCACACAGGGAATGGCTGTGAGCTGAAAGAAGATGGATTTAGATGGGATATTGGGGAGGAATTCCTGGCTGGGCTGGAATTCCCAGATTTTCTGTGGCTGCTCTTGGATCCCTGGCAGTGCCCAAGGCCAGGCTGGAGCAGCCTGGGACAGTGGAAGGTGTCCCTGCCATGGCAGGGGGTGGGATGGGATGATTTTTAAGGTCCCATCGAAGCCAAACTGGTCTGTGGCTCCATGACCCCGCAATCTCCAGGGCTCAATGTCCCCACACCAAGCCAGCAGCCCCTGCAGCCCCTGCCAGCGCTGTCACAGCTGCCTGGCACAGGAACCCGGCAGCACTGACTGAAGTGTTTGTAACAGAAGCTGTCAGCTGCTGCTAAACACATCATTAAGCCTCTGCACGTATCCAAAAGCAAAAATATGTGTTTACTTGACTTTGTATTCTTGGAATAAAGAAGTTCAAGGCCAGGTCGGACAAGGCTTGGAGCAAAGTGGGC